TTGTATGTGTTAGAGATGTAGAGCAACGAACAAAGATAGTCAAGAATATAAATATGTTGTATGTGTTAGAGATGTAGAGCAACGAACAAAGATAGTCAAGAGTTAAATGTGTTGTATGTGTTAGAGATAGCGTAGAGCAGCGAACAGGGATAGTCAAGAATTTATGTGTGTTGTATGTGTTAGAGATAACGTATAGCAGCGAAAAAGGATACCCAAGAATATCAATGTGTTGTATGCGGCATTATAGTTATTTGCACTCAGATTCTGAATAGCTTAAGTGCAAGATGATTTTCACCTTAAGTGTAAAAATGTTTCTTTTATCTTACAGTTTTCAAATATTATTAGCATAACCTTTAGAACCTCCTAAATAAACATCAAAGTTTTTTAAGGAAAATATTTATATTTTATTTTTCATTTTCTCTACCATATGTATCTATTATCATCAACATACAGTACAATGAAATGTTTAAAATCAAGAAATAGAAATATGCATACTTTTTTAACGATTCATTTAATAATCTAAAAATATCTTTTTTCGGTCATATGTATAATTTCACATTCTCACTTGGATAATTTTTAATGTTTTATATTCCTTTTCTGTTCTTTATCCTATATTATTCATGTTGACACACAGTAACGATATAACAGTGTCATCAACAGAGATAGCCTCCAGCAAAACGTTTTTGCTTAGTGACATAAGTCTCCTGCAGTGAGTGAGGCAAAGCCTGGGATATATATAAAAAAAGTATTAAACCTTTCAAATGTGAATTTTAAAACATAAATAATACATGATTAACTAAAATATAAAAGTAAAACCTAAATATAATTTTAATTGTCTATCTAACTAACATGTATTGAGGTGAGAAACAACAACAAGTACAAGCGAGGACAAAATCAGCAAACAATGCTTCGGCTGTTTGGTAGAAAATAGTGCATGCCAGTTTTAAAATATTCATTGGAAGATTGTAGTTTCAAATGAGCTCTTTCTATTGGTTATAAACACGTCCATCAAATATCTATATTTTGCTTGAAATAACATATGTAAGTTAAAAAGTGGGTATGGCTACTGTCAGGATGTGAGAATATTTATTTTTCTCTGAATGGGTAAATAGAACTGTATCAGTAGAATTCAGTCACTGTACATGAGCTGTTATTCAAGTAGCAGAGACAAAAAGTTAAAATCTGTGATCGCAAGAGAACTGAATTGTAAGTATTCTTATTTAAAGTTTCTTTTGAAATAAGGGAATTAAAACTTAGATAATATGAAACTTTGAATTATAACATACTTGATAAAGCTAACTTAATTAAAATACATTGATAGTAGAGATTTAATCAAATGTTTAAATTAACTAAGTAAAACCTTGTGACATACACAGAAAGGAGTTTGAAGTGTGCACAGTAGTTAAAGGGTTAATATTTTACAAGTTTTAAGTTCTTAATTTTATAAGGTACTATTTTAAAAAATCCCAAATCTCCCCCTGGTATGCGAATTTTGCCATTTGTTCTCTAGGTCTTTCTTCTTCTCTATTTTATTTGTCACCCCTCTGAGAATTATGGAATTTATATATCACTCAGGCAAAATATAATTTTTATAGCCTTCAAACTTACTTGTTTATGAAAATCAGACACATTTACCATACCCATGTGTTACATTTTCTTTCTCACAAATTGCATATGGTTCTCTCTGATGATTTATAGTATATTATTTATAACCAATAGAAAGCCAAAGTTTTCATCTATCAAATGATGTATCATACTATGTTTTCTGTACAGGGTATTGTCTATTTCATTGTTCAGTTCAAACTTTTTATTATTGGAAACACATCCATGAGCATAGCTGAATTTTTAACTCCCATATCACATAGTTATAAAACCAGAAAAGTTGATAGTTATAGGACATTATTTGCTTTTTGTGTGTTACTATTCTGTGTTCTTAGGTTTATTATTTAAATAAAACATTTAGTGTAGTAGTACCATTAGTATAAAAAAGTAGGCTTAAGTTCCATTGACAGGGAAAAAATACACAACCTAGGTAAGTACTATATTTATTGTTTTTCATGTATATTCTTTATTTATTATTATAAAGGTAACTGAAATGTAAAAATTAGAATAAAGTATGATTGTGAGCAGCCCATGTTTTACATAATTCAACACAGTAAGCATGTTTGCTGAGTGATTTACAACTTGTGTGGTGGGATTATTAGTTAGACAAAGTTCAAATGTATATATATATATACTGTTACAAGTTTTAAGCTCTATAGGATAAACAATTGTGGTTTCCTGTTGCAATTTAAAATCATTCTAGAAAGATAAATGGGTCATTTAGGGTTTTCCAAATTTTATATGGTTGTTATGAGATCAGTCAAATTGACCAACCCTGTGTAAAGCTAGAGAAAGTAACAGATAAAACATAAAGTTTTTTGTGAAAAAAAAAAGATGTTTAGTATTTATTTAGGAGCATTTAGAGGTTACACAAAATTTGAAAATTTTCAGATGAAGAAAAGTATTTTTAATCTTAAAATGAAAATCACTTTGCACTTGGAACAGTTAACGCTGATTCCATGTATTTATGCCAAAATCTTTAGTAAAAGTACTTAATTAAAAATTAAAATTTTTTGTCTACAAAAGTCTTGTAATGTTTGCTGAATGCTTGCCAAATAATGATAGTATGTATAACTTCATAGTTG